GGAGCGGCTATAAACGACCGTTAAATGAAATGATGAATTTTTGAAGGATTTTGAAAACGGAAAAAAACAATCATCAACATTGAAAAATGCCCGGCATCAAGTGGTTAATCATCATCATGATCAAGTCAGCCACAGGCAGGCTTCAATACAACTACATGTACCCCACTCCATCTGCTCTACCACATGAGGGTGGCAAGTTTACCATTCATCTAAGGTGGAAAGCCTGCAGTAGCACCATGCAAGGATATGATCTCTTTGTGAGTCTGTATGGTTCTGAAAAGAACCGTGAGGAATTCTCAGGTTCTCTCGAGTTCCTCACGGTTCTTTTCAGAACCATACAGACTCACAAAGAAATTGTATCCTCACAAAGAGATCGTATCCTTGCATGGTGCTACCAAAAGCTTTCCACCTTAGTTGTCTCTCAACATGAATACATGTAGCTTGAAATCCCATTCACCATTCATCTCGACAACAGTGTCCTTTTTTAGCACCCCAATACAGGACATAACTTAACTACATGTACGTGTACATGGTCTCTCTTCTTCTTAGCATATTTTGGCCCCCCACTGAACTACCAGGTGAGCACTAAGCAAGAGTTGTACTGACAGTGCCCTACAAGCTGCATCTAACATGCCACTATTACCCTTGGGAGATCACAGTAAAGGACATCCTTGGTCACTATATCTGGACAAGAAATACCAACAGCTGACAGCAGCATGTGAAAGAGAAGGGGTGCACGACCATGCTTCACAACCAAACATGTACATGTAGATGCTATAGCGGCAAGAAAGTTAGAGATAACCTCTGGAGACATCTCAGAATTCCAAAGCTTCTCCATGTCATAAAGAGCCTTCCAAGTGTTGGCTTTCCTGATTTTGATGTTGCTCTCTGTTGAATTTTCCCAGAACCCAAGGTACATGTACTTGAACTCACTAACACCCTTCAGTGCTCTACCCTCATTTGTTTTGAGTGGTTTGTGATGCGTTGATGGTATTTTTAGTGTTCAAGCAAAGACCAAGCTTCTTACACTCCGATTAAGTTCAAGACAATGATGAACAGGAAAGATGCAAGAGTATCTCCTTGTAGCATTCCTGCTGTCATATTACACCAGTCAATTTTGCCGTCTGGAGTAACCAACCTGACTTAGCTACTGCCATACATCAACTCAATGGCAAAGAGTAGTCATGGGGGCACTCAGGATGCATTGAGGATCCTGAATATCTACCCACTGTTAACCACTTCGGACCGGGGCATTTTTCAACGTCGAGGATGCTGGGCCGGCATGACTATCATTTTTTCCGTTTTCAAAATCCTTCAACAATTCATCATTCCATTTAACAGTCGTTTATAGCCGCACGGAGTCTTCAGGCACTACTTTAAGTTGACAGCTGACCTTCATTGATGCCTGAATATTTCAGCCAGGCCTGCAGCCTTGTAAACAGAGCTCAGATTGTGCGGTGTTATACAGCTGTCTTTTGTTCACGAACATGGCTCAGTGCACTGCTGACC